GACGCTGTCTAAGGAATTTTGAATGGCTTGAAGGCACCTCGTAGATCACTCGAAAGGCCTCTTTGGCATTCACGCGATGGTCTGAGTCTACCAGTTGCGCTAGAATGGAACTGTTTTTACCCTATAGTTGGCCCTTCCAGAACCATGCTGGAATATGTTCTCCTACTCTTCTGAACAAACGCCGGCTCGTGCGATCAGATCAGATTTTTGACCCCGACCTCCCCCTCCCCCCCACCTACCCTGACAACAGCACAATTGTTTCTGTAAAGCTGCATAGTTTATTTACTTAATCCCCATATAAATGTAAAGGCCTGACGAGAATTTATCGAAGACAAACGTATGTTCGCCAATTTATCTTCTGAAAGCCTATATGAGTCATCTTTCCATTGCATAAGTCTAGGTAGTCTTGCGGCGCACGTCCTAAAAAAAACAATAGGACCGGTTAGGTCTGTGTGACTTGTTTGACTTTCTCACCTCATATCCTTTAACTGCTGCAGGCATCACGCCTGATACCAGGAACCCGGTTTCGCGCAAAAAATCGCTATTACCTTAACCCGGATGCAGCAACTGTTGGAAAAAGTTTTTCCCTACTGTCTGTCCAGGGGAATTCACCGCCGCAAACCTAGTGAAGAACGCGGCTGCAAATTGTTTCTCTGCTAAAAAGCTTCGACCTGCATGCTGCGGATTTTCCACTACGCCATGTTTACTCGACAATTCTAAACGTAATGTTAACTTTCAGTTTAAAAGTCACACAAGAAGCTCCATGGAGAGCGCTGAGAGTCTGCCGGCATCTGTTTGGAATCTGCTACACTGTTATTTATTGGGACTGCAGAAGGTTGTGAAGCTATAGCTAGTCCGTGTTTTGGAATACTTTAAGGCAGCTGTAATGCGCACTTGAAATTTGTTTAAAATGAAGTCCGCGATGATGCGAGGACCCTTTCCGACGGATTTGCCTTCATTGCCGGATGGACGCCCACTGTTCGGTTACAAGACGTACTAGATCGGTGCTACCTTGGGACTTGCTCCCGAGCCCCACCAGCAGCTATTCAGTGGCTAATAGTTTAGGCAAACGAATATTATCGAGGAATGCAATGGTCATTTCTTATAAAATGGAATGCAGGCATCCCAAGAAATATAATTTCAAGGAAAGGCGCCCTTTGGGAAAATGAGTAAATTTATTCATGCACTCCTATGATCCACGCATCAACCGGTGTATCCAGTTGGCTGGAGTGTACAAACACCTCAAACAAAGGTGGAAGAGACTGCAGCCGACAACTTTGAACCAACATGAACCACGATTAGCGGCCACACCGGATGACCTGGACTGACCCCGGACCGACTCAAATTACAGTTGCCAATTAGCCATTACGCCACTGCGACTGTTAATTATGTCCACCACGATGTGACGCAAATTGCAACTACTAATTAGCGCCCACCCTACATGACTATATAACTGTATCAGCACTTTGAAATGTTAACTGTTCTTTGCACATTTTTTCTCAAGTCTGTCGACGACCTGGGAATCCAGTGTCAAAAATTTACTGAATAAACTTGTTCACTTTCCCAAAGGATGCCTTTCCTTGAAATTGTCATTTCTGTCTTGTTAGCCCTATTCAGTCACTCATAACCAAACCCAGGCAGTGCACCAACCTGTTGATTAGAAGTCTAACGCTCTAACCCATTAAGCTGGTTTCGAATCTCGGATAATGAGCTGCCTGGGGTTATGCATGACTGGCTGGTGACGGTTGGTAAACCAGAGATGCTGCTTGTTGTGTCTCTTATCTTTGCCGGTAACTGTCATTTGATTTGCCTTCGTCAGTTCGGTGTTGACGCATACGAGCTTCGAACACAAGTCACTTTTTCATCTAGCACTGCCAGTTCATGACTGAAAATAGTAGGGCACGTGGAAATAGGTCTCGTAGGATAAGGTAAATCAAGTAGAAGTCACCTATACCATCCACTTTGATTGCAGGACCGCTCTTGCCTTCTAGCTTGTTGATTACTCGTTGATGAACATTCACCGACCACTAATGGAACTCATTTTACCCGCTCTGCCTTGGGCCTCATTCATCCGGCCCTGGCAACAGCCGTGGCAACTAGTAATATCGGCAGACCGGAATGGCCATTTCTGGTTTTTTAGCCGTCATCAGCCAGTCATACCCAGCCCCAAGTGGCGCAATACCCGACGCTCGAACTCGCGACCTTTCTGATCAGAATATAACGCCCTAACCACTGAGCCATAAGTTAGTTGTCTTGCTGGCTGCTGTCAGGGCCTGAGCATTGCGGCCCAAGGCAAAGGGTGCAAGTGAGTTCCGTTAACGGCCGGTGAATGTTCATCAACGGGTGTCAATATCTCCCGACTTAAACCTGCAAGACAACGAACTCACGGCTCAACGGTTAGGGCTATAGACTCTGGTCAAAGGTACGCGAGTTTGAGCCTCGGGTGGTACACCACTTGAGACCAGGTGTGACTGGCTGGTGACGGCTAATAAGTCAGAAAGGACCATTCCTGTTTCCCTTGCCTTTGCCGGCAATACCATTTATTGATTACTAGTCACCATGCAATCCCTCCAGTAGACTGTTCACCTTTTTCCCACCTACATTGTAAGAAGAATCTTGATCGTCTTCCTAGTCAAGTTCGATG